ACTCAGAACACCTTATCACACTTTCACAAGCTTTCTCTCTGAAAATGGAAAAAAGAAAAGGGGTGGGGGGGGGAGCCTGTTAGGACTTGTGCCAGTTAAATCCGATCTCTCCGGGGATTTGTTTTTCTTCTGGCGTCAGATTAGATGTTCACATCAAGCAGTGTTTGGAGGACTGCAAGGGAATGTCCATGGGATTCTTAGTGAGGATAATCCTGAAGCAGCGGCACATTCCAAGGGGGCTAATCTGCCCAAGTTCATTGCTTACTTGAAACGTCTCTTGGGGGAAGAGCCAGGCAAGTGACTTTTTTTTCAGTGGGCGGTCATAAGAGCATTATTAACGGGATGACCAGCCCCGGCCACAGCAAAATGAAAGCAACAGGAGCCGCTCCAGGGACTGCCGTTGCCACCAGCCAGAGTCAGTGCACAGGTAAAATGATTTCAGCTTAACTTTTCTCTTCTTTAACTTCTCAGCATTGGAGCTGGGGACCTAGAGAAAGACCAAATAGACAACCAGAGAGTTGTTGAGGGAAACCAAAAGGTGCAAATGGACATATGTGTTCAGTCCCTTTGGGTCTTGGTATTTTGCTGTAATCAAGACAGAGAGTCTATCTGAAATAGAAAAATGTGAACATGAGGAGGGTGGTAAAGTCTTCCTTGTAATTTGTTTCTATAAAGTTAATGTACTTTAAAAAAAAAAAAACAAAAAACCTTGTGATTACTGGTCTGGGTTATTGTCCCTCTATATTGCTCTGCTAAAAAAACGATTGCAATTGCTTTCTGATGGATTTCATACATTCTCTGTGTGTGTACTCATAAACTACTCCCTCGCAGAGAAGGTCTGGTTTGTAGCTAGCCAGGACTGCACAGAAAGAAGATTCAAAGTAGTCTAAAGTTGGGGTCTAAAGTTGTTGGCTGAGCCTTTGTGAAAGAATTGAAACTTGCTTAAATGAAATTATTCAAGTTTTCTTCTTCTTCTTTTTAAGGCAATATTTACAACCTTCTTGTTTGGGTTTTGATCATTTTGATGCTTTATTGATTGCACACTTTGTTTTCAAAATTTGAACTTGTTTTATTCTCTGAGGGTAATTATTATACTGTGTTAAAAAATGTGAGTGTTCTCATTTTTGTTCTGAATAAGATGTCCTTTAATTATTAGCCTTTGAAAAACACTTCCCTATAACACATCACACATGACTGATAATGCAGAAAGAAAAGAAGAAAATAGCCCTTCACAGACTCAGCCATGGTTATGTGACCATTCTACCTCTGGAAAAGAATGTACAAAAGTGGTTTTTCTGAGAGTTGATAGAAGCCATCTTTTCTAAGAGAACCTGAGCCCTCCAAAGCATATTAAAGAAAAAGATGTTCAGACAAACTGGCCATTGATGTCTTGCATTAGAAGAGAATTACAAGGTCAGTTAGAAACACAGTGTGTCAAAATTATTTCATACCTTCTAACAACTAGGATAATCATTGTGGCTAACTTTAGTTGAATGTTGAAGGAAAGTATAAAACTTCACACAGAATAGTTTAAAGCCTTTGAACAAAAGAAAAGGGAATTAGTTTAGGGAACAAGTTTAACTATGATCATACATCAAATACATTCTCTCCAAGAAAATAATTTTAAAAATCTAGTATCTGTCCACATTAAAGACCTGAATAAAAGCACAATAAAGCAAAGCCCATAACAGAGCATGTTAAATTATGCATGATGTTTTGTAGAATTCCTAATTCATGTGTTACACATGCATTCTTTCTATTGTGCATTATACTGTTCTCAAAAACAGAGAATTCAATCTAATTATGAATGATGAGAAGAGATTTACCTTCTGTTTCTCTTTTTCCCCCACCCCTACCCCTCAGTTGTCTGTGCCTTGGCAAGAGAAATTATTAATCTACTAGTAACAAGAAATAGAAACTAATCTTTAGTCCTTTTGCTAACATGGAGGTAGCTTTTCACCTTTGAAAGGTAATTAATTTGCTAAACTGAACACAAGGGAAGTTATTGTATGCTGAAAGACAAGTGGGAGTCCATACTAGTAAATTTGACCCGATACCATCTTACTTAAATTTCCAGTACTTTTCAATGAAACTGGGATCTGTAAGTGAAAAGAGTAATGAAGGTGTCCTTGAAAAGACTAATCTATTTGCTGTGGTCCCCCAGATTCTCAATTGGAGAGTCCCGTTATGATTTCATATCTTTTCCATAGCCGTGATAACGGCCTCGCCGCTTCTACTTCTTTCTCATATTCTGAGCTCTTCCTAATGTCCCACCCCCTCCTTTATCCCCAGGGAGAGAGGAAGAACAGATAACATTGAGGTTGGGAAGTGGGGAGTGAGAATGTGAAAGGAGCATGCCTGAGCTGGTCCTAGACAGGCCTCCAGCGTCCAGCCTTCTCCAAATACCAAGGGACTCCCAGGCATGCCCAGATGGCACTGCCACATCAAGGATGTTTAATATCAACAATATCGCACTTGGAGAGGCAGTTTAGCAGAATTGGTGATAGTGAACTCTGGAATCAGGCTGCTCAAGTTCAAACACTGACTTTCAAACTCTGCTTTATCTCACCACCTGAGATTCTTCATTGGTATAATTGTAGCATTTCCCTCAAAGAGTGGTTCTGAGGATCTGTGTACATAGTGCATATGTGGCACAATGCCAAGCACATAATGAGTCCTTCATAAATATTGGCTATTGTTATTACCTATTGAGCTCCTACTATGTGCCAAGGGTTTTATCTGATTATCCCAAAACTTCCAGAGTAATTATGATGAACTACATGTTATGAAAGAGACTCAGAGAAGTAACTTTTTTACATGCCTCATTAATGACCAGTCAGGGACTGTATGACCCCCAACACAAGAGAAGCTCAATCTAGATCATTGCTATAGGATTTCAAACTATCCTCATTTGCGTTTTCAGTACTAGAATCAACTGAGGACCATTCCCTCTTCTTGAAGTGAAAGCATGGTATTCCTAAAATAATGACAGCAACTTTGAACATCAGTATTACCATTGTGCCCATTTTACAGTTGAGGAAAACTGAGAAACAAAGAACTCATCTGTCTTTCTCCATGACGCAGAGTCCCACTCATGCCAGTTTTTCTAACTGCAAACTCCACATTCTACCCATGATACTGCTTTTCCGACTTCTTCTCAAGGGGGATTGATCGGCACTCTCTGAAATTCCCAGATGCTCCCCAAAAAGATTTTTCTAAAGGCTGGCCAAAGTGGACCATAAAAAGAAAAAAGAAGTACATTCTCCATTTTCTGTTCCCTGAGGTGTAGGGAAAGTGGGTTTCAAATATCCAGTGAGGAGCATTTCACCATCTTTCTGCCAAGAGATATTATCAACAAAAGTATTCAATGTCTAGGGAAAATCATGGCCTTTACAAAAGAAGCTTGCAAGCTTCTTTTGTAAAGATTAAGACTAGCTATCTTTGCTGCTAAGCTCATTCCTGTTGCAAAGATGTCACCATTAACTTTTCCTACATGTTTGGGAAGAAAAATCTTTGAGAATATTTTCTTTTTTGTCTAGCTGACTGAAAAAACAAACAAACAAACAAACAAACCCTGCAAATGTTACCCTTTGCAGCATGAGGGTTCAAGGGTCCATCTGGACCTGTGGCTATCTGAGGCATTGTGGGACTCTTTTCCATGCAGACAATGCATGAATACCCAGGAATTATGTGACCCCCATTGTCAACATCACTGAAACAGGATGCAGTTGCTTGGTGGCCCCCAGAGATCCTGTATGTTGCCACTTGTAAAATGTGCATTGTCACAAGTGTTAAAAAACCACCACTGTCAGTGTTAAGTGCTTGCATAAGCCTCCATTGTATGAGATCAAGGGGTTAAGGGCAAACCAGAACCCAGCACAGCTTCTATACAGATGTTTGAGTTGCCATTGGCTTCAAGACTGATTACATCCAACAAACAGGGGCCCATAACAGTTAACACCAGTGATTGAGACAGTTCAAGTAAACAGCTCAATTTTGCCTTAACCCTGTATATTTTAAGAGTATGAATTTAGATCTGATACCGGGTTAGAGAAAAGATAATAGCATATAGAAAGAACATTACGGGTTGTTCTAGCAACTTCCATCTTTAGTGCTTACGGAAGGAATCTTCTGAATAGCTTCTTGGACTTCATAGGAGATTTCTCTACCATTTCAAATGCTGGTAAAGAAAGAGGTTGAGGATGCAGGATGAACACTCTTCTTTGGAACAAAGATCCTACAGTTTGCCAGAACATCTTTTGTTCATCCAGGAACCCAATCGCAGGGGCAGGACATCTGGGTGCATAGTCTCAACAAAAGCTGTTTTTAGAAACTGTGTTTGCTGTGTATGTGTAGGGCATGTGGAATGGGGGTGAGGGAAGTCTGTCTTATTTTCTCCCCAAGACATTACCTGTGAAATCTGGGACTATAGTGAAGAACTTTATCTCCCTCCTCTTTCCATTTCCTTTTTTGTTTGTTTGTTTATACCTCAGCATTGCTAATTTGGATTTTAGAACAGCATGGTGATAGGTTGTGGCTGTTGAGGTATACAATTCCCTTGACCATTTTCTTCTTTCCTTCTATAAGGAAAATTTAATGGAAGTATCATCCATGAAAACTTTATTTAGATATATGTCTTCCTACCCTGAATACTCTCTTTCTGTAAGATTACAAACATAATGTCTATCCCTCCAGGTTCATTTTCTCAGCAAATAGCTTTGTTTCTTTCCTTCAAAAACCATTAGTATTTTATACATGGTTCCATCACTACTATTTTTTAACACAGCTGTTCCCTTTAACTCTCAATATTATAATGTTAACCAAATTAGTAGGCACTGGGAGGCACAGATTTTATTATATTCAGTGTTTATGTGTGAAACAACCACAATTTCCATTTAGTTTATAATATACTAGTTTATTATGTGATTATGAAGTTTTGCTTTCTAGTCAAAAATACTTAAAGGTTATATTCATCCTCTCTCTCTCTTTTTCTTTCTCAGGCACAGAAATCCTGGATAGAAAGAGCATTTTATAAAAGAGAATGTGTTCACATCATACCCAGCACCAAAGACCCCCATAGGTAAATATATAATCTTATTGTGTCTAATGTATCAAGAATACCCATTGCAGGGGACGATGTCAAAGTAAATATCTTTTGTTGTAGTTGTTATTATTGCTGGACATTTTCAAAGCAATTGTGTGTGTGTGTGTGTGTGTGTATGCCCTATATAACATGCCATATTTACAGTTAATTCTGAATTTAAGAGACTTCACAGAATAGCAGATATACTGTTGCAGAAGGAACTAATCACTGTATATAACACTGAGCTATATATATTTTTGCTATGGTTACTGGTTCTTCCTTCTAAGCATTTTGTTAAAATGCTTAGTTCATATCAACATGCTCCACTCTAGTAAAAAAGATGCTTTAAAATTTAAAAAAAAAAATCCTAGCAAATTACTGATGTGTGACTGCAGAACTTTAGAATTCTTGGCACATTTTTTTTGGTACTTCCTTACCTTCCTGAAGATCAACAGTATGTAAGGCAGAAAGCATTTGGAATAAAGTAGCACATCCATGTCTAAGATGCTTTTATAAGCTGGCAATATAATAAAACAGTTTAAAGTATAGATCATGCCATCATAAAGACTCCTTTATAACCTTGAACAAATCACCTGACTTTCAAATATTTCATCATAGAATGGATGATGAATTGTTAGTGTTTAATAAATGGTAGTTTCATGTTATATCTATTAATACTAATAATTGTCACAGAGGTAGTAGTAGTGCATGAAGGACATTTTCATTGTCAAAGGAACAAATTTGAACTTTTCAAATATCTCATGAGTATTTTCTTCCTTGTTTCTCCAAGAACACTTAACTCTGCAGATTTTTCTTCTTGGAATTGGATATTTGACAGCAAATGTCAATTGGAGAGAGACTAGTTAGGTTGTGACTCACGTGTAAGTGAGATTCCTCATTTAAATGAGCATGTTAAAATTCTTCCCTCGAAGCTCTTCAGTATTCTTTGTGTAATACTTGATAGCTGGGAGGAGCAAGAATTAGAAAAATTCTAGGGAACTTTTTTGTTCATAGGTGTCTTATCCTAAACAATATGCCAGGTGGGAAAGGTGTGGCTGGAGAAGGCAGGATGCATGTTGTAGCTTTTATCACTAAAGCAAAGTGGGGAAAGAAGAGGAGAAAAGGAGATATGTTTGTCATATGGAGCCAGAGTTTGCATTTGCCTAATATAAGAATATAACATAATATAATAATAATTCGAGGATTTTACCTAAGAATTGACTGAAATGGGTCAATATGAACTGCAGGTTTCTGCAGCAGTTGCTTATGTATTCCAATAGTGGCTCACACAAGGGGTTCACTTTAACCTCTTATGTTATAGGTGTTGCTGTGGGCGTCTAATAGGCCAGCATGTCGGACTCACTCCCAGTATCTCTGTGCTTCAGAATGAGAAAAATGAAAGTCGCCTCTCCCGAAATGACATCCAGTCTGAGAAGTGGTCCATCAGCAAACACACTCAGCTCAGCCCAACGGATGCTTTTGGGACCATTGAGTTCCAAGGAGGTGGCCATTCCAACAAAGCCATGGTAATCAAAAAGCAGCACTCCCCAGGGCAACCTCCTGCCGTGCAGAGGAATGGTGAAGCGCCTGAGATTTAGTCTTGTGGCTTCATCTCAGCCCTGCCACTCTCTGGTGGGGCAACCTGCTCTAATTATCTTCCCCTGTAGGGGGGGAATTTTTCCTCCCAGAATTTAAAAAATAATTAATATAAGATCAAGCACAGTGATTAGTATTAATAATAAGACAGATATCCTTTTTTTTTTTTTTTGGTTGATCAACAGATATAGATTGTACATTTTAATGGAGTTTGGTGTGATATTTCCACAGCTGCATACAATATACACTGATCAAATTCAACCTTCTTTTAACCAACCCCCACATATACACCTTTCCCAACCTCTAATCACTATTAATCAACCTCTTAACCACCTTTCTACAATTAGGTCCACATTTTTTAGTTTCCATGTATGAGACAGAGAACATGCTGCACTTCTCTTTTTGTTTGGCTTATTTTCTATAGCTATCCACTATTTGATATATTATTTTCTGTATCTTATCTATTCCAAACTTTTTCTAAATCTCCCCCCGCCTCACCCTTTGGTGGAAAATGTTACCTTTGGTTTCTGTTTATTCTGCTACTAAAGTAGCAATTCTCCTTATTCAAAGTAGACACAATCATATCAGCCTATTTCCTTCCGTGTCCTAATAGAGATCTTGTCGTCTGTACTGAAGGATCTTGTCATCTATACTAAATGCTTTTTGTCCAAGCAGCTGTGTTCAGTAAAGTTCTTAATAGAAAAGTTGCATATGAGAAGAACTTTTTAAAAGAAGTTTCAGAAAATATACAAATTTTACTTTTAACAGTTGTCACTTCTAAATTTCAGCTCTCATCAAAGACCACTCCCTAACATGGCTGACAGATTCTGCAAGGCATAGAATATAGCATATGTTTTGAAAATTCTAGAAATAGTATAGTACAAGCTTGCCTCTGTTAAGAGTTGGCTTAGGGTGGAGTAGCTGGAAGTGGTTTCTCTTAGGCAAGCCATAGAGCTTTTCAAGTTTGAAGAGAAAATTCTGCTGAGAGAAGCACACTACTAAATTCACTAAGAGTCAACTCACGACTTTCAGGCTAAAAATGCAATGAGGCCACTTCCCACTTTTTCTCCCTCTCCTCCTTTCATTTTTCCTCATCCTCCTCTCCTCACTGCAATAATTTATTTACCAAGAGTGGGTAACTGAGCTATTCTCACAGTTTTTCCTTAAGAAATTTAGTTTTGAGCTATAGAGTAAACCAAAGCCAATTTTTGAACTATATATTGGAAAGAAAAGGGTGCTATTGGTAACATCCAGCTGGGTTTGAGGGAAAAAAGGAATAGGTTAGTCTTATCCTATGTAGAAATAAATAAAGGAAATAGAGGCCGCCAACTTTCCCACCCAAATATGGGATGTATTTGCCTACACAAAATTACAAAGGATCCCCAACTTAGAACACTCCTTGTTCACGTTATGGAATTGAGCTTATGGAATCATGCCTAAAAAGTCATGTAAGTTCTTTCTGTATGAAAAGTGTTGCTTATGGAGAAAGGGCTCATTGAGCAATAATCATTGCAGAGAGGGACACCCAGCAACTTCACAGGTGCTCCAGTGGTGCCTGAAAGCAATACCATAAGCCCAGAAGGCACATGGTAAGCGTCTGGTCATCATCTCCATTGTTAATATCCAAGGTCAAATATGGACACAAATATGTTTGGAGGTAAGAGTGTTCCTCCAAGGTCAACAGCTTGGAAGACCCATGGTGATGCCATTGTCCAAAAATGTGTTGCTCTTTTGGGGACTGACTTCAGATAATTTATAGATCATAAAAGAATGGCAGTCTATATTTTCTCCAAATGATAATTTTGACAGAAAACTCAAGTACCTAAGAATTACAAGACATAGAGCTTAGTTATGAATAGCTTCTGCCAGTTTTTACAAGTCCAGTTTATTCTCTGAAAGTAAAGCTTGCCACCATAAAACTGTCTAAAAGAGTAGAATATTAGTTTAGTAGTGAAGAGTGTAGATCTTGGATTTACATGGTTTAAATTTACCTCATAACCATCCCATAAATGCTGTGTAACAGAGAGAAAGTTACTTAAGTTTTCTTGACCTCAATTATTTATTCTGTCATATAGACTGTTGATATTATCATAAACATTGAGATGACATATGTAAAACATTGACACAGTTTCAGACACATAAATAGATGTAAAACTAATTTAGCTACTATTATTATTATCACTATCATTATTTGTCCCAGGCATTGAAAGAAATTGCAAAATCCCTCTAACTAATACTTTAAAGGATACTCATTTGGATGTATGTGTCTCAGTATATTATTTTTAGAAGGTCAAATTATAATTTTTCTGTTAATATTTTTGCATAGGCACATGCCAGTAATTCCAGCAGCTGAGGAAGCTAAGGCAGGAGGATGGCAAGTTCAAAGTCAGCCTCAGTAAAAAGTGAGATGCTAAGCAACTCAGTGAAACCCTGTCTCTAAATAAAACACAAAATACGGCTGAGGATGTGGCTCAGTGGTCAAGTGCCCCTGAGTTCAATCCCCATTAAGCCCCCCCCCCAAAAAAAATGAAGTTCTGACTCATAGTCTACTTCTATGATGGATCATAAAATCGGAAGCAACGTTGCTTTTCAGCAATAGCCTGGCTCTATCATTCACTGGTCATGTGACTTTGTCCAGTTTATTTAGCTTCCCAGTGCAGTAGTTTCCTTATCTGTAAAATGGGGATTGTCATTTCTACTTCTCAGGGCTGTCTCCAGGATTAAATGAGTGAATACATGTTCAGTGTGTAGAACATTACCTGATGTTTAAAGATAACTAAGCATTTGCAACTGTTAAAGTTTACTGACTCTATTTAAAAGAGAAGCTTCATAATCAGTTAGAAGAAAATACACAGGCTAAGTTACTCTGGGGTAGACTACTTACCTGAGATGCAGAAGGCTATGAGTTTAATCCCCAGCAACACACACACACACACACACACACACACAAAGATGCATGATCTTGAAGTCAGGCAGAACTGGATATAAACTCTTATTCTTTCACTGTCTCATTGGAAAGTCGTGGTTAAACCATTTAATTCAGTAGAGACTCAAGTTTTGTTGTTGTTGTTGTTGTTGTTTTGTTTTTAAATCTCTAAAACAGTCTTGGTTGCCTTATTTGGTGCTTATGAGAAGTAAAGAGAACATAAAAACCAGATGGTATATAGGGCTAGTGCTCAAGATATTTGTGAAAATACTAACTGCTTATGAAAAACTAGTGATAGAGCAGTGAAACACCCTCATTTACTTCCTGGGATTTCAAAAATGTGTTAGAGTATTTCCACAGGAGCAGCTGGTTGCATAAGTCAGCATTCTGATCTCTGTCCTCTGAACACCAGCACTGATTGACTGTCACTGGCAGGAAGCTAGCACTGTGAACACCATCCACCACTGACTGGAGATGAGGGGGTCTTTGGTCCCACATATATACTTTGACTGCCATATTCATCAATCTCCTGCATCCACTAATTCCAGCACAATAGAGCATGAATATGTCACCTGTATCCCCTCTGCTTTATTCCCTGAGTCCCCCAACAATTAAACAGCTGCTGTGGGTGTGCTGTTATGATGGACACAGCCCATCCCTCCTCATCATATAATATTCTTCTGTGTAAGCTTCTTTACTGGTCCTGAAAATGTCTAATGAACATGAGAGACTCTGAAAAAACTGAAGACTGAAAATCAAATGAGTTTATTAGAATACCCTTCAAAGTATTAATCAAAATACTTCGGCAATTCATTTTAGATTCTGTAGTATATCATAATCATGAAAATAGCAACTAAAATATATTGAATATCTACTATATTTCTGGCACTGTGCTTGGTACTTAGCTGTGTTTTTTATGTTTATGACAGGAATATTAGTCTACATGACATAATAACATACTGGGGTCTTAAAGTATTTGTCTGGCTGTGCATGATGGCACATATATGTAATCTCAGCAGATCAGAAGGCTGAGGCAGGAGTGTCGTGAGTTTGGAGCCGGCCTTAGCAACTTAGAGAGGTCCTAAGCATCTCAGTAAGACCCTATCCCTATATAAAATATTAAAAAAGGGCTAGGAATATGTCTCAGTGGTTAAGTGCCTCTGCCTGGGTTCAATCTAGAGTACAAAAAAAAAGTATTTGTCCCATGTCATATAGCAAATATAGACTGTATGCATATTCTTACATTTAGCATTGGAAGAAGAGTCTAAAGAGGATGACTGATCTTTCACCAGAAGAGTGAAGATATGCAGATATCTGGTTTTGACAGCCCTCCTCAGGCTCCACCTAGTGCTCTAGAACCCAGAGCACATGGTGGTCACATTAGGCAAGGTCAATTAATTAGTGGACACCAATGCAATGTGAAAATGTATGCTTGTGACAGGGAAAGGGGAATCAATCCCCTCTTCCCATGACTGGCAGCCCCAACTCTCAGTGACTGGTGATCTCCACTCCCAAGGTCTTTGCACCCCTACCTGAGATAGGCTCAGTGTATGAAGTGGGTAAACTTCCCAGCAAGTTATCCAAGAAACTCACCATGGCCCTGCCCACCCAGGGCAGATGTTTCAGCACACAGGTCCAAACAGAGGCATCAAGGAAGCAAGAGCAGGACCACATAGTCCTAGCCCTTGTGGGCTCCTCGGTCCCATCAGACTTCACTTGCCAAACACAAATCCAAAGATAAAATTATGAAGAATTTCAAGATAGGAAGCCTAGAACCGTGAACCCCAAGCACTGCCCTTCTGAGCAGTGTGATTATCCTGATTGCACACCTCTGATGCTAATGGAGTTGAGGGTGGCCAAAGGAGGTCTCAGAGTAAGCACTACAAAGGCAGGCCTTTCTCTCTCAGTCTTGATCAACCAAATGAAGACCTGTTTTCTTTTGGGGTTACTCAGAGGCACTCAAACACTGAGCCCTTTTTTGCATTTTATTTAGAGACAAAATCT